GTGCAAGTGTCACACCTGCACGCACTCTCTCTCTCAAATAAATTAATGTAAAAAAATCTATCTTTTATCTAACATAAGCACTTAAAACTCTAAAGTTTCCCTCTAAGCACTGCGTTAACTGTATCCCATAATTGTAGTATTGTATATGCATTATCAGTCAATTAAAAATATTTTTAATTACCCTTGTGATTTCTTCTTTGACCTACAAATTATTTGGAAGTGTGTTGTCAAATATTTTCCTAAATAGCATATTTTTTAAAAGATTTTATTTATTTATTTGAGAGAGAGAGAGCACGAGAGGGGGGAGGGTCAGAAGAAGAAGGAGAAGCAGACTCCCCGCCGAGCAGGGAGCCCGATGTGGGACTCGATCCTGGGACTCCAGGATCATGACCTGAGCCGAAGGCACTCGCTTAACCAACTGAGCCACCCAGGGACCGTTTTCCTAAATAGCATATTGCCTTTGATATCTAATTAATTCCAATGTGAACAGAGAACATACTGTATATGAGTTTAATCTTTAAAATAAAAAAAGTGTATTGGAACTTGTTTTATGGCCTAGTGTATCTTGGTGAATGTAATAAGTGAACCTTAAAAGAATGGTAAATTTTAAGTTATTGAACACAGTGCTCTGTAAATATCAGTTAAATCAAGATGACTGACAATTGTTCAAATCCCAATGTCATCAGTGATTTTTTAAAAAATCTAGTTCTATCAAATGTTGAGAAAGGAATCATAAAATCTACTATGATTTTGAAATTGTCTGTTTATCCCTCTCATTCTGTCAGTTTTTGCTTCATTTGTTTGAGGCTTTTATTAGATGCGTATCCATTTATAATTGCCAGGTCTTCCAATGAGTTGTCCCTTTTATAATTATGTAATGTCCCTTCTTTATCTCTGATAATACTCTTTGGCTTGAAGTCTCTTTTATCTGATATTGTATAGCCAATCTAGCTTTCTTGGGTTTATTGTTTGTATGCTATATTTTTTCCCCATCTACTTTCAACCAATCTGAGTGTTTATAAAGTGTCTGTGTATAGACAGCATATAATTGCATATTGAATTTTTATTCCTTTTGATAACCTTTGCCTTTTAATCTGAGGGTTTAGACCATTAAAATTTAATGTATTTATTAATGTTTTTAGACTTCAGCCATTTTAATGTCTGTTTTCTGTTTGTCCCTCTACTTTCTGTCTCTATATTCCCTACTTTTTGCATTCTTTTGGATTGTTTGAATATTTTTTAGTATTCCATTTTAATTTATTGGTGTTTTTTTACCTGTTTCTCTTTGTATTTTTTTTTTTAAGTAGGCTTCACGCCCAACACATGGCTTGAACTCATGACTATGAGATCAAGAGTTGGACGCTTAACTGACTGAGCCACCCAGACACCCCTCCTCTTTGTATTTGTATTAGTTGCTCTTCATTAATCTTTTGCAATCCACCTATAGTTAATATTATACCATTACATGTAAAGTATAGAAATCTTGCAGTCACAAAGGACCTTTTATGTTGCAGTTGTAATCTGTATTATATCTACATGCCTTAGGAGAGTCACAGGACAATATTATAATTTTTCTCTAAGTAGTTAGATACATTCTTTTAAAACTTAAGAACAAAAAGAAAAATCTTTAACATTTACAAAATAGTTACTATTTCTGATACTCTTTAGTCATTCCCGAATATCCAGGTTTCTTTCTGCTCTCATTTCCATTCAGCCTGAAGAATTCCTTAAGCATTTCTTGTAGTAAAATCTGCTGGCAACAAATTATCTTACTTTCTCCTTACCTGAACGCATCTTTATTTCATCTTCATTTCTAGAGGACATTTCCTATTTGGTGTTGAATTTTGTTTTATGTTTTACATTTTGTTTTTGTTTTATCTTCTCGCTTCCATGCTTTCTGGATGAGAATCAGTGTTTCCCTTTAATATAATGTGCTGTTTTTCCCTGGATACTTTCAGGATTTACTCTTTATCTTTAGGTTAGTCATTAGATTATGATGTATCTAAGTGTGGTTTTCTGTGAATATGTCTGGTTTGGGTTTGTTGACCTTTTGGAATCTGTGAATTTATGTCTTTTACAAAATTTGGGAAGTTTGGGGCTATTATTATTTATTTCTCTCTTTCTGGGACTCTAATTAGCTGATGTTAGACTTTGTGATAATGTGGCACAGGTCCATGAGGCTATCTCTGTGTCCATTTTTTCCATCATTTTCCTCTCTCCTCTTAATTTTGATCTTCAAGTTTACTGATTCATCACCTCTAATATTTATTCTTTTTTTTTTTTTTAAGCAGGCTCCATGCCCAGCATGGAGCCTGCATAAGATTCTCTCCCTCCCTCTTCCTCCCCCGCCTCTCGAAGAAGAAGAAGAAGAAGAAGAAGAAGAAGAAGAAGAAGAAGAAGAAGAAAAGAAAGAAAGAAAGAAGAAGAAAGAAAATAACTACTTTAAAGTACTAGGGTGATAATTCCAACATTTGGGTCCTCTCAAGGCTGGCATCAGTTAATTGGCTTTTCCATTTAAAATGGATCACATTTTTCTGGTTCTTCCTGGTTCTTTATGTGTAGAGTAATTTTGGATTGTATCCTGGACATTCTGTCTTGTGTTACACAAACTCTGAATTCTTTTATAATCCTCTGGAGAATGCTGGTTTGGTTTTGTTTTGTTTTGTTTTGTTTCGTTTTAACACACAATCCAGGTAGATTCAAACATTAAGTCCTTTTTTGCCTATGTGCACAGAGGTTCAAATTTCCGTTTAATTTTAATCCTTGCTGTGCTGCTTTGAGTCTGCCCCATGGAAACATCATGAAGGGATAAACCTGAAACTTGTGAGGGTTCATACACATAGTTTGGGGATCCTTTCCTTCTCCAGCTCTCTCCCCTACATGACATCCTCCTCAATCTGTGGTGGTCAGCCATGGTTGTCCAGGTACCTTTCTCTGATTTCTCTGGCCAGAAAGATGAGCATGTTTTCCATTAGAGTTTTATTTGCCTGTGACCTGCCACTTCATGACTCCAGGTCAGCCTCAGTTTCCCCCAAAGAGGGAACTCACTCCCATGCAAGTAACTTCTCCAAATCCCAACTCCCCTCTATAATCTGCCTGATTTTGTTTCCTGTTCAGAATCTTCAGGTAGTTATAGCTCATATTTTGTTCAGAGTTTACAGCTTTTATTAGTGGAAGGGTTGTTCTGAAGGAGGGCTTAAATAACAAACTCTCATATCATTTTCATTTATTTTGTCTTCTTTATCGTCCAGTCCTAACTTGGAGTAAAACGAGGCTATGGTGAAGTGCAATCTAGCAACCAAGAGTAGTTAAAAGCAGTTCAACAACTTTGCTCTCTCTTGACGATGATTGATGAGGGTCCAATTCAAAACCATGGCAGCACTTTAAAAAATTATCTTTCCCCATTAGTCTCTCAGTATGGTGACTGCATTTTTTCTGATGCTTTACACCGAATACTAAATCAGCTTGAATGTCAGCCCCCATAGCCTTCCTATTTTTGCCCCTCTTCCCTCCGTTCTAATTTACTCTTCTTAAAAGCAGTTCTCTTGTTCTCTTCATTATAAGTTGATTAGACGAATCCCTCTTTCTGTAAATGTTTGTTCTTTCTATCCTTTTTCTGAGCAATGTAAATGACAGAGCCAAGATGGTAAACTTAGAATCTCCCTGAGAGGGGCGCCTGGGTGGCTCTGTTCGTTAAGCATCTGACCCTTGATTAGGTTATGGTCTCGGGGTTGTGAGGTTGAGCCCCACACTGGGCTTCAAGAAGCTCTGCGGGGACTCTGCTTGAGATTCTTTCCCTTTCCATCTGCCCCTCCCCCCAGCTCACATATGTGTGCTCTCCCTCTCTCTTTCTCCTTCTCTCTAATAAATAAATCTTTAAGAAGAAGAAGAACCTCCCTGAGAAAATGGAATATCCATGAGGGAAAGGCTAAGTGTCCAAAGATAGAATTTTTAGGTGTAGAGTAGAGAGGGAGTAGGAGAAAATCACAAATGCTACACATAATTTTAAATATAGTTTTAAAAAACTATATGTATATATGTGTATGATATATATAATCTATTTGTGCTATGGATAGCAACAAAGTTTTATAATATAAAGTTCAAACACTTTACAGTGTTTTAACTTTTCTAAGCAAAACCTGACTCCAGTAGTCCATCTTTGAAATTCCAAACAGGTCCCAGATGCTCATAATACCCCTGTTTATTGATGAATTATTTTGTGCCAGACACTCTGCTAAGCGACTTGCATACATTGTTTATCAAACTTCATAGCAGCACCTCAAGGTAGGCATTGTTCCCATTTACTGATGAGGGAACCAGGGGTCAGAGAGGTTAAGCAACTTGCCCAGGGTCACCCACCTTTTGAAGGGGCTAGAAATGAGATTTGAACCCATATGAGACTCCAAAACCTATTGCTTTCTTCATTCTCTCTCCCTTTTGAAAGTGCAAATTCCCAGCAGAATCGGCTGGTGTTTATCTCCAAAGTGGATAACAGGGAGACGGGGAGCATAGTGCTGTGGGAACAGCATTCGCTTTGAAAGAGGAGAGGGGTGTTCTAGTTCCAACTCATCACAGACTTCCTGCATATCCCTGCAACCCCCTCAGGGTCTCCTCTTTTCTTTCTCCACATCTGTAACAGAAATACAAATGTACCTCATGCAAAAGTTCAGGACTATTCTAAGAGTAAAATGAGGGGCCCTTGGATGGCTCAGTCCATTAAGCATCCGACTCTTTTTTGGCTCAGGTCATGATCTCATGGGTCTTAAGATCAAGCCCCACGTTGGGCTCCTCATTGAGTGTGGGGCCTGCTTGAGATTCTTTCTCCTCCCTCTGCCCCTCCCCCCTTGCATGAGTGCTCACTCTCTCTAAATAAATAAACAAGTAAATAATCTTAAAAAATAAGAATAAAATGAGAAGAGCTGGGCAAAAATTCTGATGTAAATATAAACAACTACAATCACGTGCAGCCCAACTTACAAACTAACATTTTCTTTTCTAAGTTTTGCAGTTACGACTTCAGCAGAGGAGGACCCAGGAACAGCTGGCTAACCAAGGCATAACGCCACGTGAGTAGCTGTGTCTCTTGCTCACCGATCTATTACCAGGGGACCATGCAATTTGGGAGCTGGAAAGCACCTCCAAGGTCATTGAGCCTAAGCCTATGGATGGATCTCTCCCCAAGATCCCCGTAGACTCCATGTCAGCAGAAACCCCAGACCTTGGATGCTTTGCCCTAGATCCTACTCACCTGCAAGGGCTTCCCTTTCATGACAGAGGTTGTAGCTAAAATGCCAACCAGTGGGTTTGTTTTTGGAGTAAACACGATTCACTGTGGGCACCCCTCACCCTTTACTTTTAGGATATCATCCCTGTTCTTTCCAGAAGCATCAATCACATGTCCAACCTCTTACCTCCTCGGTTTCCATTCTGTTCGGGGTACTTGAGTCCACAATTAATTGAATATTGTCAAGTGCTTCCTTTCTGGAACACTGAGAAACAATGGCTTTCTAGCATCAATGGTATATTGAATTACTGGCCATAATTTGGGTCAAAGAAGAATGATTATCATATCTTTTAGTAGATAAATTTAAAATTTCCTACCAAGTTAGTGATTAAATCTAACTCTTGATGATCCATAGTAACAGAAGGAAGGGTGCCCCGAATGAATGAAGTCGCAGTTCAGGCTCCTTTAGGGTCATACTTTTTAACTTTCTTCCCCAACGAAATTTAAAAATCAAAACCCATAATGACTCTAGCAGAAATCTAGATTCGTCATGACCATTACTTCAGAGTCCAGCATGCAACAAGCAGACAGTTTGGCCCAGATCAAATGTCCTGCGGTTAGTAATAATATCGGAGCCCCGTGACCCAAGGTCTAAAATTTTAAGTATAGTCCATGCCCCAGAGCCAGAACAGAACTGAGAATGTTTCGAGTCTTTTCCTTTATAATTCAAAATTAGCTCTTTGTTTATGGCTAAGCCCTCCAAAACAGTAAACAGTAGGGGACCGTAATAGTAGAACCACTCAGCCTGCAATTTTAAAGGCTGTGTACACAGTACGTACAATGGTGATGAGAATCCATAGGATCACGTCTGGGTGGCCTGTTTCATCTCAGCCCACTAGTGGAGGTGCTAAAAACACAGGAGAGAACAAAGGTCTGCTGACTTCCGGTCAGATAAGTACGTTGTCACTCAGAGCTGAGCAGACCAGTCTTTTTCGGAATCCTATTACACACATGTAGAATCTGACCTGATTAAGTGTCATCTAGAAGAATTGTTTACTAAGTAGAAGAGTGTAGCTCCACCAGGATCCTCTCAGTGGCCAGTCTGTGCCCACATCCTCAAATCTATGAGGAGCCCCTCTAGTTGGGTAATATTAAAATAATCTATTCCCCCACTGGGGTTTCTTTTCTTTGATTCTGGAAAGGCACACGGAGTAGAGAGACTCAGTCCCTCTCAGTCAGCCCAGGCTGCTCACAACTGACTTAAAGCTTGACTCCAGTGCCTAAGTACTCTGTCCCTGGGTCTTGCTGCTGACATTTGAATGAGAATAAACTCTTTTTCCCCTCCTTTCTTTCTTTTTTTTTTTTTTTTGAGGCTTACAGGGTTAAATTTCTGGGAATTTGTAAAAACACCTAAGGAAGATAGGAATGAACCCTATGATACTTTTAAAATAACACCTCTAAGTGTGTTTTGTAAATTCAATGTCCGTTTGTGGAGGAGGGTTCAATGGGGATAAGATATTTTGTTCTTGGGATTTCCAGAATCAAATAGGGTACCTATTAACGAAACCCTGCTTGACAGAAATTTTGCATCCTTAGTCTGTTGAACCATTAAGATAATTACTGGGGGGAAGAAAGTCCTATGAGAACGAAAGGATTTTTTTTTCTTTTTAATTCAGCAAATTGGTAAAGGTTAATTAAGTGTCATCCATTTTCCCTAGTCTTCATCCAGCTCCTCTCAACTAGGCTTCCTGAGGGTGTAGTTCCTGCTGTGGAAAAATATCGAAGCTGCAGCAGGAACACAAGGCATGCCCAGCCCAGACAGACTTCAGCTACTTAGCTCTTCTCAGGAAGTTAGACCCAAGACCAATCTTTCCCCTGCTGAGAGGTTGGGGGTGGAGATGGTTAGCCTCGTCAATCCAATCAGAGATTGGCCATCCAAATGCAGAGCACCTCAGGGTCCATGTGTCAAGGCAAGTGATCAAGGAAAGGAAAGAGGAGCCAGCAGACTCAGGGTCCTGTCAATTCAATCAAATGCAACAAATTTTGTTATGAACCAGACTATATGGAGGGTAGAGTGCTGGGCCCATAGAGACAACAATGAGCAAGACAGTCCCTTGAATGGACTCAAGATTTTAGGGGAAGAGGTGATAGGAATCACACAGAAGTATAGTTCAAGGTAGAACTTTTTACATAATTATGAGTACATTTGAAATAACCACAATCCTCCCCCCCGCCCAGATCTTAAAACGTGTCATAAATCGCCTCAATTGAAAGCTGATGGTCAAGTGAACTATTCACTGTCCCTATGTTATTATTGCTTAGCATCACTGTTTTTTAACCAGTCCACAAAAACACCTGCTATCCTTTGGCAGAATTCCTCTTGAGTTTTACATTAGATTAAATCTCAAAGGCGCTGCCACTCCTTTTGTGGCAGAGCCTACAGCGGGGTTGGTCCCTGCGTAGAGCTCTTTTCTCAGATATTCCAAACGAATCACTTGGACTTTGAAAGCACTTCCTTAGGTTTCCCTCAGGCATTTTGTGGTCAAAAAATTCAGTTGGAATTTGGGGAAATTAAGAATATACATAGGTGGAAATGCCAAGGAGAACCCAGTGGTTTTAACAAAATGGCGTCAGGTTTTCCGTTCTCATCTACACCTCACCGGGACCAAGAGGGAAGGAAAAGTTCTGCTGCTTTAGCCTTGTAGCAGATCTTACTTCACTTGTACATCAAATTGATGATGAAAGTATAAGGTTTCTGTCCCTCCTGATTCTGATAAACTGAACCATGTGTAAATTTCAGTTAACTAGCTAGTTAACTCCTTCCTTCTTCTTGGGCATGTATCCTGCAGGTTTTGAAGTTATTGATGAGTAACAAACAGTCCACTGCAACCAGGGACAAATTCTCCTTCATAACCCCCCTTAATCACTTCTCTTCAGCATTTACTTATTTCTCACTTTTGTCCATTTATGGGTCTGGGGTTCTCCCCCTTCGGGTGCTTTGAATCAATGTAACGTCATTGTTCCTTGAATTTAGTCAAGAAGGGCAGAGTTCCGAGGCCAGCACAGAGGCCCCAGAACAACCCTCAATAGTGGAAAGAGGTTTTTCAGACCGGGGAGCATGGGCCCCAGCCAGATTCTAAGATTGTTTTCACATTTATAATACCATTGTAGAATTCACATTGTCAAAATAATCATGAAATCTCAGTGAAATACCCTCTCACAATTAGCTCAGAAATACTACTTTAAGAATTTATTGCTTGGACTTGTCTCCAGAATCCCACCTCTGAATCTCTAAATGGAGATTTCAAGTTGCCTCCTCTGCCACCACCAGCCAGGACTCAAAGGGAGCACTTCGCTGCCCTCCCTTGTGGAATCAAGGCTGCAAAAGACATCTACGTTCTCTCTTTTTCTCATGGCTTAAGGACCGAGCCAGCCTCTTTCCCTGTTGACCTGTGGGGCTTGGATCTGTTCACCATTTCTCATGCAGATTTTTCTCCACCACAATTCTTTTCCTTGGGCATCCCTCTCCTGGGGGGAATCTAAAATAACACCACTTTATTCCAACCCCTTGGGAAGCCTCGGTGCAGAAGGATGTGATCAGCCCTGTGGAGTAGGTGCAATGAATGATCACAGCAATTCAGTGGTGTTTTGACCATCTGCTGTGAGGAAGGCCCTGGGGAACACACAGGAGTCAGATGTGAGTTCTGTTTCAGATGCTTACCGTCTGGAAGGGGCCCCAGATCACCCCTGCTTGATTGTTCCGAGTAGTGATATTGGACAGCATTACACCACTGCATGGGTGTGGGGCTAATCTGTGTGAACCCAGGGGAGAGAGAGGAGGAAACAGGTAGCTTATGGTCCTGCAGTATGAGAACAAGAGAACTGCACTAGACCGGGGCCCCAGAGAGGCTGCAGCATCTCTATGGAAACTTCCGGAAAGCTGCCGCCAGCCAGAATGAACCGTCCGGGCAGCTTGGGTCCATGATCTGATCAGTGTAAATGAATTGAAAGCTACAACGAGCTGTCTATGAACGGTGCCACCTTATTTGTTTTACAGACTAATCGCAGCCACAACAAAGCCTTGGTAAACCCCTGAATTCTCTGTGGTACCTCTCCTGAATAGCAGCAAGAATGACCGGGCACACTCCTCTACCCACACCACATGCAGCTTCATGATAGTCTTGAGAAGTCGACTATGCAAAGTCTTCCCTCCTCTCCTCTGTGCATCCATCTGACTTGGCTTCTTCCTCCAGCACCCCTAGCACACAACTGTTGGCTGTTTGAGCAGCACACAGCACGAGGGTTTTAATCTGTCTGCCTCCTCCCTCCCTGTCTAACCTCTCAAGTTCAGAGACAAGCCAAGGCACTCTGGATTTCCATGGCGAGCCCGGAAGGTGGGGGCAGGGGGGAGTCCAGAATCCTAAACGTTGTCTTTTCCCCTCCTCCTGTCTTCGGGTTCCTCGCTCCCTAGAAACTAGGAAGCCAGCCATGACATGCATACTTTGGACTCTTCTTAGAAATCCCAAAGTATTCACGTATGTTGCATGAACCCCTCCCAAGTGTGCAGCCAGGTCTGAAAGGTAACAAAGCTACGTTTTTTGGACTCCTGGGACCATCCTTTGGGTACTCAGTAAGCAGTTGATCGCCAGCCTAGGAGAGGATGTCATTTCCAAATCATCATCAGTTACGCAGAGCATGTACCTCCTCTGCTCGGAAGAGCAGCATTCACGATCTAGTTTGTCTTTCAAAGTGAGACAAACAGAAGACCAGCGTTACTAAGCCCACTGGTACAGGTGGGAGACTCTCACACGTGTTTGAGGAGACGAAGCAAGGACAGGTAGT